AAAAACAGTATGCATTTACTAAGTTTTAACAGTTTTAAGGGAACGGTAGTTAGATTATAAATTAAACATGCTGACATGGGTTAAATAGTATGCAAATTAGCTAACTAATGTACATTGATTTGTCTCAAAATCAAGAATTTATCACAAAGTAGATGTTGTACCAAATTTCATTCACATTCACTGAGTTGTTATTGATATTAGATTTGATGCATCCATTCATCCAGCTACATACAGACATATGTACCGGGTAAGACATTAGCCTCTCTTCAGGCTCTGCACATGGAAGCCAAACAAAATAGGTCCAGGCATGTCCGAGAATTGATGTCTGATGAATAGACGCCCGTCGAATTGATAGACCGAACAAACAGAACCCATCAAGGCAACTCCTGTTTCACACTACATCCAATGACAATCCAAATACATCACACTGAGTCCAGTTTAGAGTTGTTGTACAGAGTTATAGTTGAAACAGTGGATGAAGAGAAGAATGCTGAATGACGTCTCCATGTGGAACCGATCAAGGAGCACGTACTGATTCAGTCTGCCTAGGTCCAGAACTGGACCGCCCGCCACCTGCAGATTTTGTACTACAAACACATTTGAGTAGAAGCCTGGACATAATGCCGGTTAATCTACTTTGTGTATGGTGCCCTTTCCAGCAAATTGTCTACTTTCTCTCTGATTGCTTCCACCTTGTGGGAGTCCCCTGGCAGTGCTCCCAATGGGGGAGACACTGACGGTGGAGATGAAGATTTCAGTGGTATCCTGTAACCATATGTCACCACCTAGAAAGTCCAGGGATTGGTCACCCGCTGCCTCCAAACCGGACCACACCAGCACAATCTGCCCCCCCCCCCCCCAATGCCTGACAAACCCAGTAAATGTGTCGCCTGGTCTAGGAGGCTTGTGCTTTCTGCCTCCAAGGTCTCAGAGTCCTGGGCACGCACAATAATGTGCTCCAGCAACTCTGCTCTCAAGGCGTGATGGATCGTCTCAGACTGAGTTGGCGAGAATGCCCATGGAACGTGGCTGTCTGCCTTCACCCGGTTTGCCAAACAGAAATTCGTGGTACCGAGGTCAGGGGAAGGAGCTTTGGGATCCGGTTGAGGGCGTTTGGTCTCATCCCACCCTTTGGGGGTCTGATCCCAAAACCACATTGACTAGGTAGTGTTTGGTCCAACAGGAAATGTTGCATAAGATTTACCCCACCCAGGGACCTTAAATGTTACCTCCTCCGCTGCTAACCAACATTCGCCCATCAACACCGTCTGCACGCCCTGCGCCCCACTTGGCCGGGCAGGGGTATCCATGCCAACAGGGTTGCTTTGGATCCCAACGCCTGTGATCTCATAAGCGTTGAAGCAACAGTAAGTGGTTGCCTTAGGATCGAGGGTGGGGGTATATACATCGTACCACTAGGATCGATGATACTCGCATCACCCCAATTGCATGGCTCATCGAGTTGTTATGGATGGCTAAATTTCAACCCCGTCGGTGCGGAGATAAAAAAAAAGAAGTGATTATCTGGCTATGATGGCACTGTCACATGGCCTCGGTTACGTGGTTCGTGACGTAAGGGAAAAAACTCTTGGGGTCATGGGGCTCCCCCTTACCTAGATTTTATCTCTCCGTCATTGGCAGAATCGCTGATTAATGCCTACAGTTCAAAATAGTCATTTTGACTGACCGGAGTCTATGGTGGGTAATTGAACGTAGTGAATTGCAATGTTGATAATTTTAAATGCATCAATATTAGTAGCATACATTCTCCAAGCCTCAACTGATTACTGCTTTTTAGTGCAGATTCAGTCTCTGCAACAGACAACATTTTTCCCCTCAATCCTGGGGATTACGCATTTTTTTTAAATATACTACTGTAAAATACTTTATTTTTGCTGGAATTAATTTTTGCTGAAAAGAATATTTGGGTGTTTTGTGTGGAATTTATTTTCACTGATTTTTGACAAGTTGAATGTAAAATATTGGAAAAAGGTATATTCGCCGGATTTTATTTTCACTGAATCATTCCTTCAGCGAAAATTAATTCCATTTTTACAGTATATTACTGATAGTTTTCATTATTTTATATAAAAGCATACCCTCAAGCCAAAATTCAGCAAATTTGGTAAATAGCCATGGAAACGCAGCCAAACACAAAAAAGTAGGTCACCTCTTCAGTGCAATGGTGTGAAGGAGCCACACTGATTGTTTTGTGGAACGTTTTGCATAAGAAGTACATCAATGGGATTAGCAATGTAAATCTGTTGAAACGATACAAATAAATAACACAAAACAAAGCAAAACAAAACAAACATGTTAAGTGAGGTCATATAATAATGATCTATTCGTCTTTCTACTGTTTTTCGTCAGTATCACTATAGATGTTCGTCATAGCGTTCATCATACATGCGCATTAACAATACAAGAATATTCAATATTTTAATTTGCCTGTGGCAGAGACTGATTCAGAGCATCCAGTCAGTGCTTGAGGATGGGAGGCCCATGTAAGAGAAAATTCAAGCACATGCATTTACGGCTTTTTTATGGAATGATACTAGATAGTAGTACTAGAGATGTAGGATAATTCAAATCTACTTACCGCTGTACTACCAGTGAAAGACAGCAATGGAATTCTTTCATCCTTGGCCATAGCAGAACTGGGAAATAAAATTACATTAAAAACGTATCAAGAAATGACAGCTGACAACATTGTTTTTTTCTCATGCTTGACTGTATGAAAATTAATCCAACCATGTTCAAGTTTCACATGGAGATCATAAATTACTACAGAGAGTAATGAATTTGAGTCGATATAAGCTGAGGAGTGAAATTAGTTTTTGATATACAAGATGTTGATAAATATATCTAATTATATTAGACATGTAGGAGGGTAAGGTGGTCCAAGTACATTTGTATACTTACCCAATCTCAGCACCACCACAGATCATAGAACACACAGCAGTTGGTAATCCATTAGCTGCCAGAACTGATTCCATTACTCTTTGAAAAAATAAAAACAAATCATGTCAAGCATTATAGTATTAAAATAGATCAAATATCTGAGAAAAATCAAAACCGTACCGTAGGTATAGAATGTACACAACAAAAGAAACAATTGAATGATGAAGTTGGTACTTGTAAGTGATACGATAGTCAACAGAACAGTACTAACCTTGTTATAGCAATGGAACACAAAGGTGTAGATGGAGCTCCTTTCCTGTATTAAAGAAAAATCATAAAACACCCACTGTAAAAGAAATTGTGTTCTATCTATGTGTTACTTAAATAGTGATCCCAAGACACTGAAGTTTCGGCCAAGGCAATTCTGCACCCCATTGCTCTCACACAGACAAAACAATGGGCTATCATTTAGGTATTTATTTACTCGTCAGATATTTGGACTACCTCTACATGTCCTCGACTCATTTTGCAGTTTTTCCTCCACAAATAATAACCACATAATGATTTTTTTTTTCATATTTGTTTACCCAAGATTTGAAGGAAGTGCTAGGAAACTCATACAAAGGTGCAAAATGTGGTACAAAATTGTTGGTAAAAAAAATTGATACACATATAAAAACAATTATTATACATGTACAGTACATCACATACATGTAGGACTACTAGCATGCTGTCTTACTTTGAGGAGATCATGGAAATGCTCAATGGTGTAATCCCAGACATTTGCAAAATTAAAAAGTTTTTAAACAGTATATTTCTTTTTACAATTTATGACGATGTTCTCTTTTTTACATACACGAATGCATTTAAATTATATACGAAATCATGGAACTTGCATCTCTGTGGGAACTACATGTTTACTCTACCCCAACTCACCAGAGACAAGTATTACCACAGACCAGAGCAATGGCAGCATTCCAACCGTATACAGCTACAGGAAAATTGAATGCTGTGATTATACCAACAACACCAAGTGGGTTCCACTGCTCTATCAAAGCATGACCGGGTCCTATGATCAAGAAAGCAAGCAATAGAATAAATAATCACCGTCCCTCAACACTTGAGGGACGGTGAAATAATCAATGAACACAGTAACTATGCAGCACCATGGATACTGTAACTGAGTACAGAATGCTAATCAGTTTAAGGATGAACAGAAGAAATTTTCTTTTACTTTCTATCCCATCCCGTAATAACCAATTTATCCACACATAGATTAGAAACCCAGTAGAAAATAAATATAGAGGAGGTGATATGTTCACTTTCAAGTTTTTTGTGATTGTTCGCATTAGTCCCAAATAATTATTATGACAGACATGATACAAAGTGTGGAGCCAGTTTATTTGTGTGATTTGATCTACCCATAACATTCATAATGCATTGTTAGCACGAAAATGATGATTATTCATGTTGAATCAGATTCTGAAACAGAAGTATGTGATGAATGATGTATGTGCATGATCAGAATAGCCATGTTAGCAATATGACAGCAGTTGTTTTCAACCTGATCTGTCAAAGTTTTAATGAAATATGCCCATCCACGCCCAAGATCCAGTTCTGGAATGGAATGGCAGAAATGTTTGATTTTGATGATTTTAAAAACACTGAAATGGCTGCCATTCGGCCATCTTGAATATGATAATAAAACAAATGCATGTGCATATGTATGATATAATGTGTAAAGTCTGAGATATAGGTGTGAATGGCCAAACAGACGTACTGGAGGCACGAACACAA